ACTCTTCTCCCTGGTCTCGGATTCTGCCAGTCATTTCCGCCAATTCCATATAGTCCATCACCTTCATCTGCCATTCTTCCAGAGTGGGTAGGTCTTGTGTCTTCCAATACTTTGCAATAAGTATTCTTGCTGCTGTTGTGGCATACATAAAGAAAGTTCTATCCTTCTTTGGCACCAATTGGCCGACTATGCCCAACAGGAAGGCCTCTGGTTTCTTTAGAGTAAATACGCTTTTTGTTCCAATAAAGGGATATTAGGACAGAAGAAACGTTTGGGACTCATTTACTGCTCTTTCGACACACGACCGCTGTGCAACTTTGCTAATTGCTTTACGACCTGCAGAGCCTCGCAGGGGGAAGTGTGGCTGGGCGCCGAACAATAAAGCAATAAAACCATTGAACAGGTTATGGGCGGTCAACGCGAAGTGTGTGAGAATGGGCTTTGAAGCTTAATTTGCTGAACGTCAGTTTGATCGACTGCCAAGACTTCAAAGGGCAGATCGGAGGAAGCTGACGGAGAGGGAGCTGAGAGCCATGTCGTCCGGAATGCCCGGTTTGGCTGCAGAGTATTATCGGCTGCCCTTGCAAAAGGCCAACAGAAGGGAAGGGAGGCATGGCACTGCCCCAGGGACATGACTTTGAGTTTAAACTGCCATGTCAGAAACTGAATAGCCAAAATTGGCTGCAGTGGAGCTTTCAAGTGGAACTCTTGCTGGTGCGGGAGCAGCTCTGGGACGTAGTCCAGCCCCCACAGCATGCAGCTGGGAAAGCAGAGGCTAAAAAGGCTGCAGAGCAAAGTGAAGTGGAAAAGCGTGTGCTTGCTTTTTTGGCAGAAAATGTGGATGCTCATCTAGTGCCAGTTGTCCTGGGTGCAAAAAGGCCAGAGGCCGCTTGGCTAGCACTCCAAGAAGCTTCTGGAGCTGGGGTGGGAAGAAAGGGCCGAGATGTGGCTGCATCCGAAGGGGAGAGGCAAGATGGCGCCGGCCACATTCTTGAGAGCCAATACACAGCTGGGAGGAGCTGGGAGCCCCCACAGGGGGGCGAAGGGACTGTTGCTGTTGCTGTTGCTGGCAATGCTGCTAGTACTTTTGCTTCTCCTGGGAGCTGTTTGGATGCTGCAATGTGTCTGTGTGAGGAGCCAGGAGAGAGGCCAAGAGTTGGGAGCCCCTTACCCACCAGAGGGGGTGCAGGAAAACATTCTGGAGGCCCCGTGAGTAGTGGGGGGGGCAGTGAGCAGTGAAAGCTCAGAGACGCCTCTTTCTCCAAAAGCTGCCAAGAGTTGTTTACTTTGTGAGTCGGAGACTGGGAAGCTGAAAAGAGCTACAGGCTCCAAGGCCAGCCACCTGCAGCAAAGACAGATAAGAGCTTCGGATTTGTGTGGGAACACTGAGACAAGTCCAGTTTCCAAGGCAACTGAGAGAGTTGCATCTACAGAAGCTGTGAAGGTCGTGGGCAAGTCTCCCTGCCAGGGGGAGTCTGTTGCCTTGACAACCAGTGAGGACATCTGCAGAGGCCCCAAGGAGGGGGGTACCGAGGAGATTGTTGCCATGGCGACCCAGGAATGTCAACAACAAGACTTTCTTACTGTCATCATAGACTCAGGAGCGACAAATACACTAGTGCCATCTAGTGGTCTTTTAAGAAATTGCAGGACAGTAAAAACTGATAGATTTGAGACGGTCACAGATGGAAGTAGAAGACGGCTAACAGAGACAGGCTTTTTCTTCTGTCCCTTTCTTAAGCATGAAGTCAAAGCTTATGCAGTGCCCGGTTTAACTAACTGTTTGTTAAGTGTACATGATTTACTCGCTGATGGTTATCATGTGTCTTTTGCAGGTACCAAATGTGAATTTTCCAAGGATGGGAAACACGTGTACACAGTGCAGTCTAAAGGCAATTTGTTTGTTGTAAATGTGCCTTTGTCTACAGGAGAGGATGACACCAAAGATGTGAAGGGGCAATGTGTGAATGTAGCGCCCCACCATGGTTGTTCGCATATTTGGTACAGATGCTTCGCCCATCTGAATTGGGGGTATCTTAAGAAAGCACCAGAACTGACACAAGGGTGCAAATTTAATACTTGTGACAAATTTCTAGATTGGAATGCATGTAAACAGGCAAAAATTGTGACATGCTCCTATCCAAAGTCAGAGAGACAGACCACACAACCCTTTGAATTAATTCATGCAGATTTGTGTGGCCCCATGTCAGTTCAGTCACTGGGGGGATCAAAGTATTCTCTGCTTCTGGTTGATGAATTCTCGAGGTCTGTTTAGACCTTTTCTCTGAAAACGAAAGGGAGGCGGCTAAAATGATCAGGGATTGGATCACCGTAGTTGAGGTAACCTTTTCCAGCAAAGTGCGTGGCTTTCAAAGTGACAGGTTCTGAATTCACTGGTTCTGCTTTACAGGATTTCTTCAGGAAGAAGGGGATTAGCCACAGATTGACCGCTCCTTACTCTCCGCAACAGAATGGGGTCGCAGAGAGAAAGAACAGGACGGTGGAGGAAGCTGTGTCTGCAATCCTGTGGGACGCAGGGCTACCCCAGAAATATTGGTCTGAGGCCTGGAGATTTGTGGTTCATACGCAGAATAGAGTGTACAACTCTAGTGTAGGAAATACACCTTATTTCTTGCTGCATGGAAAGAAGCCTAAGGTACACTACCTTCGTGTGTTTGGTTGTGAGGCCTGGGTGCTTATTCCAAAGGCTCTACGCAAGAAAGGTGAGCCAAGATCTAAAAGAATGATCTTTGTAGGGTATGAGCCTGGCTCAAAGGCCTGGCGGTTTGCGTACCCAAGTGGAAACCAGTCAAGGTTGGTTATCAGCAATAGCGCTGAGTTCTGTGAGCAAGCCGGGTGGAAACGTCTGCACGCTAATCCAGACGTGATTCCACAGCCGTTCTATGACTCAGACGTTGAGGAGGAAGAGGAACTTGTTGCTGGGGACAATGGTTCAGAGCAACAGGGTCCACCACAAGGACAGAGTCCAAGGCAGGGACAGCTCAGGATCCCTCAGAGGGGGGAACCTAGAACACCTCCTCAGGCAAGTGTCCAGTCTGAGCCAAAAAGTGAGCCTTCCTCACCTGCTGGACCAGCAGTAAGGCCCAAGAGGCGCAGCAGGTCAGAGGGGGAAGACACTGAAGTTGAGGATGATTTAGCTGGACCCAGTGAAGCAGCAGGGTCACCAGGATTCACACTGAGGAGATCAGCGAAGACAAGGAGGCCTCCTGATCGATATGAAGCTTCAGGCGTCTGGGTAGGTTCAGCCAGATGTGAACCTGAATCCTTCGAGGATATTCAGAGTTTACCTGAAGAAGAAGCAAGTAAGTGGCACAGGGCAATGGACAAAGAGATGAAGTCCATGAAAGATCTAGGTGTGTTCTCACTCACAGAATTGCCACCAGGCAAGCAGGCTGTGAGTTGCAGGTGGGTTTACCGCTTGAAGCCCACTGACACTGGAGAGCCACAGTATAAAGCCAGATTAGTTGCTCGAGGATTCACTCAGAGAAAGGGAATACACTTCATGGAGGTGTATTCGCCAACGTCACGAGCGGAGACTTTGAGAACGCTTTTAGCTTGTGCAGCACAGAGAGGCTGGAAGGTAAACCACTTTGATGTGGATGTTGCCTACCTAAACTCAGATCTCCAGGAGGAGCTGTACATGATTCCTCCTCCGGGGTTTAAGAACTTGAGGCAGGATGTTGTGTGGAGATTGCACAAATCCATCTATGGATTACGTCAATCTGCTCAGCAGGGAAGCTTCAAACCCTAGTGTGCAAGCCTGGAATGGCATCAAGAGAGTTCTGAGGATTTGCAGGAAACCAAAGACTTTTGTCTTAGGTTGCCAGCACAAGGAGAAGTCAAACTGACTTGCTTTGTGGACTCGGATTGGGCTAATCTTGAGGATCACAAGTCTGAGTCTGGCCTAGTGGTGAAGTTTGGGAACTCAGTAGTTGGATGGAGGTCCAAGAAGCAAAGTCTTATTATAGCGCTCTCATCCACTGAGGCTGAGTTCAGTGCTCTTTCAGAGGTGTGCAGAGAAGTAGAGTTCTATGCTTGCTTAGTGCAGGAACTCTGCGAAGTGGATTGTCAACCGATACGTGTTTTTGAGGACAATCAACCATGCCTGCGTTTGGCAGAGTCAGGTCAGTTCAAGGCTAGAACTAAACACCTAGACATTCGCTTTCAGAATGTGTGCCAGAGTGTTCAGGAGGGACTAGTTGCGTTGAAGTATTGTCCCTCTGCCAAGAACCTAGCTGATGGGTTCACGAAGCCACTCTCCTTCCAAAGACATGGAGAGTTTTGCGAAGGTCTGGGTTTGGGACGACCAAGGGTCGATTCTCCCCTCAGGCGCGAGACAAGAGGGGGTGTTGGGTGTAGTGAAGCGTTAACCTTCTATGCCTTGAGCCTGAGAGGAGGCGCTTACAAGGGAAGTAAGCCAGGACGTGACGAAAGCAGCTTGGAATTCTGTGTACTGAGTGGAAATCGAAAGCAGTCTGTTGCGACACTGCAAGCAGAGAGAGAAGATGCAGCTTAACTCAGATGGAAGTTGGAGTTTGTAAATACGCTTTTTGTTCCAATAAGGACAGAAGGGGGAAGTGTGGCTGGGCGCCAAACAATAAAGCAATAAAACCATTGAATAAATCCATCTAAGAGTTATTAAAGAACTCAAATGTGAAAATGCTGATCTTCTAATCTAATCCGGTTAGCTTAACATTTGTTCCAGGAAAACTGGTGGTAAGCATTGTTAAAGATTTAATTACAAAGCAAATAGTAAGCCTTGATGAAGTATAGCATGGTTTCTGCAATTGCAAGTCCTATCTCACTAAACGTTTAAAGTTCTTTGAGTGTGTCAGCAGGCAATAGATAGCAATGATCCAACAGACCCTTGGTAAACTTCTCAGCAGTGCTTTTTTCTGGGAGGGACGCTGGGGTACGCATATCCCTAAACATTTTGTGAATCTAATGGGAGAAGAAACTAAAACTACTTTTCTGAGTGCTGTCAGGGAGAAGCAAACGGGAGAAGATTTAAGAACAGAAACCAGCACTTATAGAGAGCCTAAAGAGATCATTAGCAGCCTGTCGTCTGACAGCGAGTCAGAGGCAGGGAGGGAGGAGGATGAGCCTGGAACAAGTCATTCTGTACACAGAGGAAGTCAGGGGCGGGGTTTCTGCAGACTTGCATGCTGGGTAAAAAAAAGGAAAAAGAGATCAGACGCAGCAACTGTGACCAAAGGATCGGACGTTGATTGAAACACTGGAGATGTACTTTTGAACTTTGTCAATAAATCAAATAGATGGGAACTGGCCATGAGCCCAGAGTTTTATCTATGCCGGCTTGACAGCATAAAGCCTCTGACAAGTACCTTTCAAAAAGAATATTCCATCAAGAACATCCCAATTTCAACAAGTGAGTGTGGATGTAGCTTCTCTCAGATGAATTTAATACTGATTGCAACAAGAGCATTTAAACATTGTAGCCAACGTAATGCTTATAAAATTGGTAGGCCTGCCTTTGAGTTTGTTTAAGCCTTCAGTGTATATAAATTCATGGTTTTTGAAAGGACAATATCTGGCGACTGACGCCAACAGCAAGCAGAGGAATTGGGAAGATGTTAGTGCACACAACCTCATGCCAATGTGGAAGTTACTGTGAGCTGTCGGCTGTTTAATATGAGGTAATGCATGTTCTTTGTACTTTTGCCCATTTACTATATGTATTTTCCCCGATTTGAACTATAAAATGGTGATTTTCTTGAGTCAAAATGAGAGTACCCCTAAACATTTTTATTATTATTATAGGGGGGAAAGCACTGCTTAGCAGTAAGTTAGCAATAATTGAATAAAAGGGGAGGGATCCTCTTGTAGATCAGTAAGTGTTTAAGGAACTGGGAGCAAAGAATAAAAACAAATGGACTTTCAGGGTCTCTTCCACCTCTACAATTCTATGATTCTCACAATGGAAGGAAGTAAAAAGTGGAATCCCCAGTTATCAATTTGGGGCCATGTTGGCTTTGTATTAGAAGTCGTACACCTCTGAAACACCAGTTGCTGGGAAGCATAAATTGGAAAAGTGAAGTTGTGCTTAAGTCCTGCTTATGAGCTTCTCGTGGGCATCTATCCAGTAGATTCACTTTTATCAACAGGATACTGGGCCTTTGTATCTGATCCAGCAGTAGTCTTCCTGCTTTCTTAAAAATTCAAGAATTCCAAAAGGAAACCAAAAACTGCTATGAAAAACCTTAATAATTAAGAAAGGTACTTGCTTTTGTAATGTTTGGTTTTGAATGGATCTTTGCGTAGCCTATGCAAAATGGCAACCATGTTTTTTTAATCTATTAATGAGCAAAGGATAACCAGATAAAACAAAGAGCCCAGTGAAGAAAAATAATCACTGAGGGGCCTATGAGGACTGTAGTGCATTTTGTTTGCTTTTACCTTCAAAGGTCATTACTGAACCAGTTTGAGGTACAATCTTTATGCTTATCAAAGAATACAAAGTATTAATGGCGCAACCTCCCCTCCCGAAAAAATGCCGCAATCTTGTAAATAAGAAATGATGTAGGTGAATGACTTGCTGATGATGATTAATGACCCACTCAATCTTTATATATGTGAGAAGCAGGAAAGAGTCATGACTGTTGACAAAATGCATTACTGGGTCTTGAGCTACATTCTGCATCATGAGAAATGAAGCCATCTAACTTAGGCCAAATGTCACAAGTGTACGTGTTATTCATTCATTCATTCATTCATTCATTGAATGAATGAATGATGACGAGTTGCTGGTGCTGCCCAGGAATCCAAAGAAACAAAAACAAACAAACAAAAAAGAAAGAAAGAAAAGTAATTTTTATATAATATAGATAGTGTAATTTGTGAGTTTCTGGACTGTTCCCACACACAACACATGCACACACACTCAGGACTTTGACCTGACCCAGGAAACACCTGATCAGGACAAATGATTTCTTTTTTAGTGTTGGGGAGTGGATGCTAGAGCTTAATTATGGTATATTTGGTCTGCCATCTTAACTGAACATAGAACCTCAAATCCAAACATAGATGAAGATTGTTGCTTCCCCCTCGGGAACCCAATGCAGAGTTGGGTGACAATATCTTCAGAGGCATCCCAAGTGGCACTTGTTGGAATTGTCACACCAAATTGGGTGACAATATCTTTAGATATCTTCACTTGCAGTGAATGTAACATCATTGGATGACTTACATGAATGCATGATCCATCTCAGATATCACACGAGAGAGAGTCTTTCATCACCTCATATGCAATGCATTGCAGTCTACACATTCAGCTGCTTGTTACCAAGAAGATATGGGATAAATAATATTATGAGTGAGGTCCACATTATTAATTAGTGTCTCCCTAGCATGCACTGGGATGCAGGTGGCACTGTGGTCTAAACCACTGAGCCTAGGGTTTGCCAATCGGAATGTCCCCTGGCTGGTTGAGCTCCCGTTGCTCGGTCCCAGCTCTTGCCAACCCAGCAGTTCGAAAGCACGTCAAAGTGCAAGTAGATAAATAGGTACCGCCCTGGTGGGAAGGTAAAAGGCGTTTCCTTGCACTGCTCTGGTTTCGCCAGAACCGGCTTAGTCATGCTGGCCACATGACGCAGAAGCTGTCTGTGGACAAACACCAACTCTCTTGGCCAGTAAAGCGAGATGAGTGCTGCAACCCCAGAGTCGTCCATGACTGGACTTAACGGTCAGAGGTCCCTTTACTGTTACCTTTACAATACATGTTCAGTTCCCATGCTTTGGTATTGGTTTGCCTCCAATCTGCTAAACAGGTAGCGATGGAAAAGAAAGCAGGCATACAATTCAGAATCTATGGTATAGCATGTTCCAGAAGCCCTCCATGGCATTGAGAGTGCCATGTCCAATGACCCATATTCCGTTCAACTAGTTTCCCACCTTACTTTCACCCAAACCCACTTGAATGTAAGTTAGAGTTGCCATATTTCAAAAAGTGAAAATCCAGAAAGAAAAGTTGTTGAACTTTTAAAGGAAATTCACCAAATTCTACAATTCCTACATGGGCTGCCAAACACCCGGATTTTCCTAGATATTAAGCAATTTTCCGCCCACACGTTGTTTGTGAGGGCAGAATCCCGGCTATGTCCTTGACATTCCATTATTAGGTCAAATATCCAAATTGTGAAATTTGGATGAACTCAATGTGCTTTCTGCATTAGAAAGCATTTGAAACTATATGTTTAAAGTTCCTCTCCCTTGCACACTAACAGCACCTTCTAATGCAAGTTTATTTAGAAGTAAGTGCATTTAATGGAACAGTGGTGAACCTTGGGATCTCAAATATGCCCTGAGCATCACCAAAAGTTGTGTCCCCCTCTTCGCCTCTTGTACTCCAGTCTAAATAATAATTGTGGTGTTCCCTGCAGCGCCCCTGAGTGCAGTATGACTGAATCAGTCATGCTCCCCTAAATCCAGCTCCTAGGGAAATGCACAAAAGCTTGCAGCTTTTTCCTTACTTCTGAAGAAAGAGAGAGCTAAGATATTCAGTGTTATGTTCACTCCTACATAATTGCAGGGTTACCCTTTGTGATAACAAGCATGCATTAGCCAGCTTGGAAACACTGTCAGTCGCAAAACTGTCTCCTTGATAAATGAACAGCCAAGTGCTATTTATTGTGTACAGCTGCACAGGCCTGACAAAGAAAAGCCTGATGTCAGTGCTCCTGCCAACTCCAGAGATTCCCCCTCTCAAAGTTGCTGTGCGCAAGCGGAGCCAGTAATCCAGGAAGCAACAACAGTCCCTAAGTGCCAATCATGCAAACCTCTGCAGCTTCTCCCACTCTTCTGGGCAAATCAGGATTCAGACTGTTCAGTTTGACCCATAATGACCAGTGAGACAGAAGAAGAAGAGTAGGGACTTGATATCCCACCTTTCACTCCCCTTAAGGAGTCTCAAAGCGGCCAACAATCTCCTTTCCCTTTCTCTCCCTCAACAAACACTCTGTGAGGTGAGTGAGGCTGAGAGACTTCAAAGAAGTGTGACTAGCCCAAGGTCACCCAGCAGCTGCATGTGGAAGAACGGGGAAGCGAATCCGGTTCACCAGATTATCCCTGCAATTCTAGGGATGGGTGGGGTGTTTTATCACTGAGGGCTTATCTACACTTATCTTTCCTCTACTCTTTCCAGGCACAGTCCGTCCTTTAAACCTCCTTGTCCGAGCGCTCCCCCCTTTTGCTCCAGATCTTTCCCTGTGAAAACCCACTCTTTAAAGCTCAATCAAAGCAAACAGCAACCCATGGGAAACTGGAATTGATGTTTGCTCTGATTGAGTGCTAAAGGGAGGATTTTTGTGGGGAAAGCTCTGAGGTAAGGGGAAAATAATGCTCAGACACAGTGGCATACTGTTGGTTTCCTGAACCCAGGACGGGCACACAGGTGTACGCCTGGCTGGGAGCATGCATGTGCAGGACAGGGAGGCGCCAGCTTTGCTCTCACAGCTGATGCCACTGGAGCAAACTCACTGGAGCGAAGTGGGGCTGTGCTGAGCCACCTGCCCACCCATGCAGAGGGGAGCTTGGCCAGCTGGCATGGACCTTGGTGGGCAGCGAGGAGCACTGAGCTGGGCCAGGCTCACTGGGGTTGTTTGCAGGGGGGCACCTGGTCTGTGCCCACTCGAAAATTGTGGGCCTGGGGCCACAGGCCCCCCCAACACTTTCCCCGCTATGCCCTTGCTCAGAAATGGAGCTTTTAAGTGTGGACTGGAAAGTGTGGAACAAAAGGTAAGTCTGGATAAACCCTGAGTTCTAATACTATAATTTTTTCAGTTCTGACCTGTCTGAAATTGTTATGATAACCTGTCCATGGTTCATGCAATGAAGGATGGACTCAAAATATAGGGTTGCATCCAATGCTGTCTGTGAATGGAACAGATTTCTACTCATGTTACAGGACTCTAGCTTTCTCTCCTCCCCCCTCTAAAACTCTGGAAAATTGGAGGGAGGTGAGGTCCACTGCAGTGGTGGAATAAACAGGCCAAAGCAGAAGGAGGTGAAAAGGCAACTTTCTGAGATACGGAGAGCGGGGAGAGGTACAGAGTTTAGTATCAGACACTCTACCTCCTTGCAGAAGAAGAAATACTATAGGATGCAGTGTTGGAGAACGTCACACAATCTGGGTTCCCATCTGCATTAGAAGTCCTTAAATTTGTGTAGTTACATGCATGTGAAGGTCACTTTCATGAGTTCAATTGAGCTACCGTGTAGCATAATCAGAGGAGTGTGCCACTGATAAGGTTGTCCAAATACCGTATTTTTCGCTCTATGAGATGCACCAGACCACAAGACGCACCTAGTTTTTGGAGGAGGAAAACAAGAAAAAAACATTCTGAATCTCATCTCAGAAGCCAGAACAGCAAGAGGGATCGCTGCGCAGTGAAAGCAGCAATCCCCCTTGCTGTTCTGGCTTCTGGGATAGCTGCGCAGCCTGCATTCGCTCTATAAGACGCACACACATTTTCCCTTACTTTTTAGGAGGGAAAAAGTGAGTTTTATAGAGCATAAAATACAGTACATCCCCACCCACTCCCAACTCAGTTATTTACAGAATGCATAAGCCCTTGCAATCACTTCCCTTTCTTCCTGGAAAAACCTCACATTGAGTCTCATTTCTCCTGCCATGTGCTAATATATGAGAAAAATAGTGTGCTGTTATGCAACCAGGTTTCACAGCAGTGTGTTCAAGAATAGAAATCTTAATGCAGTGTTGAACTTCTGAGGTGCAGTGATGTAACATACCAGGGCTGTAGCTTCTCATATTTAATATTCATGACGTGGAGGCAGAAAGAGTCCCACGATTTTTGAAAATCATTTGAGTGTGCGAGCTGGAGTAATTAATCTTCCTTGCCTGATTGCATTTTTCTTTCCACACCTTCCATTTTTAGACCTCACACAGCACAGTACAGAAACTCTACTTACACTCCTAAGTACAATCAAAACACAGCAGAATGAAACAAAGATATAGACTCACAGCTCACAGATAATATTGTGCAATTTTCCCCTCCCCTGTCCCTACTGCCCAAATTATTCAGGAAGCATCTTACTTTATTAATCAGCTGCCAGCCTAGAAATATGGCTGTTTATTGTTTGGTTTGCTGCGACAACTGAAAAGCACAGAATGGCTGTCTGAGAAACAAACTAAAATCAGTTGTGGAAATTCCTGGGGAAACTGGTTATGGTGTAGGCAGTGAAAGAGACTCTACCCCAGACTCCAAAGAGTTTGTTCATTTGCTTGTCAGTGGCTGCTCCCAGACTGCAACTCCCTCCCTGGAGAAGCTAGACAGTCTCCTTTCTTGTTGTCCCTCTACCCACAGATGAGTGCCTTCTTGTTCAAGCAGGCTTTCAGGAATTTCAATCCCTGTGAATGCATTCCCCAAGAAGATCACATGCACACCATGCTGTTTTTTTTATATTTTGTTGAAAAATACCAGATATGGTAAAATAAAAGAATTCCCTGGATGCCTAGATCCAGGTTGGGGAAAGCACTCTTTGGTGAGAAATCCCAAACAGAGGTTTGAAATCACAAAACACACACCAAAGTAAAGCATGGAAATATAGACTGTTAAACACGTCAGCTTGCATTTCTTAATACGGAAAGTATTGCTCTGGTGTGTAGATCTTTCCTATTCTACTTAATTCAAGAGGTTTCTGGAAGCTTCTCTGTGTGAAAGAAACAAGCAGAAGGTTCATGATGTTTGGGTTATTCCTTCAGAGAAGCTGAGTAGAGCTGGCTTAAACTGGTTCTGTTATCTTTTC